CACTTTTCATGAGATTGAACACTTGCAAAGCATATAAAGGAATGATCTGGAGAACACTAGTAAGTAAAGAGATACTGTAAAGAGATCCTGCCCCCAGTGGAAAGAAAGACATTTCTCCAATCATTCACTTTACGCTTGATTTTATCAATCACATCATCCATATGCACCTGTTTCCTTCTCCCCCTTATCAGATTCACCCCAAGATATTTAAGGGGAAGAGAGACATTCTGAAAACCTGTAAACATAACACCCCATTGAATAATATGCTACTTAACCTATTTGCCAAAAAATAATTGACATTTGTCACTATTGAAACGAAGACCAGAGCAACTTTAGAAATCCTATAAAAGCCCCATCACTTGTTTTATGGCAGATTTAGAAACATTAGTAAAAATAATGTCATCATAATAACATCATCTGCATAAGCAAGGTGAGAGACCATCATTTTAGCTTTGTTGGAATACTGAACATGTGGATGTAAGAGTTGGAAACTGTTGAGCATCCTAGAGAAATAATCAAAAGCTAAAATAAAAATAAGGGGAGAACGAGGATCTCCCTGTTTGATGCCCCGTGAAGCAGTGAAGAAACCATAAGAGTTTTCATTGACCAAGACAGCATATTAATTGTTGGCGAGCCATCTTTTAAGTAAGGAGCAAAAACTGGTATTAAAACCTCTAGCTTTAAGAACATTGACGATGAAGTCCCAATTTAAGGTATCAAAGGCTTTTTTGATATCAAGTTTGATCACCGGATTGCCACCCCTACAATTTTTATCAATATCCTGTAATATTTCCTGTGCGAAGAGAATATTATCAGAATATCACGACCTTTAATAAAGGCCGATTGTTGAGGAGAAATAAGTGAAGGAAGATGAGGTTGGAGGCGAGCCACAATCACTTTACTAATGATTTTAGATATGACCGAGGTTAATGATATGGGCCTAAAATCCTTCCAGTGTGATTTAGCGGTAGACTTAGGAATGAAAACAATCAGGGCAGCAGAGAAATACTTTGTAGGGTCAACTCCCTGGAAAAAAATTTGAATAGCCAGCACTACTTCCTTCTTAACAATGTCCCAACACAAAATATAAAAAGTGGAGGTGAAACTATCAGGGTCAAGAGCCTTCTGTGAGCTAATATCTTTAAGGCATTAAAAATTTTCAACTAAGTAGGGGGGTCCGACAAAGAGAGATTGGAGATCATATCTCTTTGGTCCTCAAAATAATCAGAAAT